TCCTTTAAATGTAAATTGCCATGCAAGTGATGGCAGAAGATCTACCCCTTTGCATTTAGCTGCTGGATACAACAGATCTAGAGTTGTGCAAATTTTATTGCAAAATGGTGCAGATGTACATGCAAAAGATAAAGGGTACATGTTTTTAATTGTAATTTAATCTGTTTTGCTATTATCAGTATAAAAATATAAAATAATCCATTTACAATTACAATGTTACAGAGGTCTTGTTCCACTTCACAATGCTTGCTCATATGGTCACTTTGAGGTAACTGAAGCACTTCTAAAACACGGTGCAGCAGTTAATGCCAGCGATTTGTGGGCGTTTACTCCACTACATGAAGCTGCTAGCAAATCTAGAGCCGAGGTGTGCTCGTTACTTTTAAGCGAGGGTGCCGATCCAACTCAATTAAACTGCCACAGTAAAAGCGCCATTGATGTAGCTCCAACATTTGAATTACAACAAAGATTGGCATGTATGTTTCCTACTGCGCTAGTACTTTTATAACAAAAGCACACAGAACAAGATTTTGTTAGATACACTTTAATTGTAGACGAATACAAGGGACACTGCCTCTTGGATGCCTGCAGGCAGGCAGATCTTACTAAGTTAAAAAAGTACCTATCCCAAGAAGTTGTAAACTTTAAACACCCATACACTGGGGATACACCACTGCACTGTGCCGTTGCATCTCCTTATCCCAAGAGAAAACAAGTAATAGAATCATTGATTAGGAAAAATGCTGCCTTAAATGAGAAAAATAAAGACTTTTTAACATCTCTTCACGTTGCCACTGATCATTCTCACTATGATGCAATGGATGTGCTACTTAGACATAATGCAAAAGTCAATGCTTTAGATGGATTAGGGCAAACTGCACTACACAGGTACTGTGAATTGTCTAGAACATTAAAAAAAATTTTTTTTTTATTTTATGAAAGAACTTTTGATTTCCTTACTCAAGATATTGTTGCCTAAACAGGTGTGTTAGAGAAGACAATGTGCAAGCTTGCAGAATATTGTTATCATACAGTATTGATCCATCTATAGTATCACTTCAGGGCTATACTGCAGCCCAAGTAGCTGCAGAAAATGTCCTTAAAATATTACAAGGTTCGAAACTAATTTACTTCACATACAAACTTACCTTTTCAACCGAAGAATGTTTCTGTTCTCATTTTCGTTTTACAGATCCACCGAGCGGGACGGACGATGCGGAAGCACAACTGTTGGAAGCGAGCAAATCTGGTGACCTAGCGGCAGTTGAGAGAATATTACGAACAAATCCACTTGCTGTTAATTGTCGCGACCGAATATTTATTGGCACATGGAGCAGATGTACACGCCAAAGATAAAGGGTTAGTTTCTTATACAATTTACAACTTATAATTAAAATTTAAATACATCAGTTAAAGAAAATATTTAATTTTCTATGTTTAGTGGACTTGTTCCCTTACACAATGCCTGCTCTTATGGTCATTACGAAGTAACGGAATTGTTAGTAAAACATGGTGCATCGGTAAACGTCGCGGATTTATGGAAATTTACACCACTTCACGAAGCTGCAGCTAAAGGAAAATACGATATTGTTCGTTTATTACTAAGACACGGTGCGGATGCTACTAAAAAGAATAGAGATGGAGCAACACCTTTGGATCTAGTAAGAGACGGCGATCAAGACGTGGCTGATTTATTACGAGGGAACAGTGCACTTTTAGACGCAGCTAAGAAAGGAAATTTAGCGAGAGTACAGCGGCTCGTTACACAAGACAATATTAATTGTAGGGATGCACAAGGCCGTAATAGTACTCCATTACACTTAGCTGGTAAGTGATATTAGTTTTTGTTTTTTTTCCTCCTCCTCACCCTTCCTTTAATATTGTTTTCGCATAATTTGATCTGCTGATATTTTAATACAGCGGGATACAATAATTTGGAAGTAGCGGAATTTTTGCTTGAGCGTGGGGCAGATGTGAATGCTCAAGATAAAGGAGGATTGATACCTTTGCACAATGCTTCGAGTTATGGTCATTTAGATATCGCTGCATTACTCATTAAATATAATACCGTAGTAAACGCTACTGACAAATGGGGCTTTACACCACTTCATGAGGCAGCACAGAAGGGAAGGACGCAGCTGTGTGCCCTTTTACTGGCACATGGCGCGGATCCTTTCTCGAAAAATCAAGAAGGACAAACTCCTCTGGATCTAGCTAGCGCTGACGATGTGAGATGCTTATTGCAAGATGCTATGGCTTCACAGCAAATAGTACCATCAATACCATCTGGTAACACTGGCGTTGGAGTTGCCATTAACTTAAGTAGTAATGGTAATAATACTATTAACAGTAGGCCACCCAGCATCGTTGCGGGTAAATGTATTTCAATTATGATACACATATGATTTTCGATGTATTTATATGGTTGTACATTTATTCATCGTCGAAATTTGTTCAGTTCCAGTTACACCACCGCCTCCGCTCACTCAAGAAACTGTTATCATGCCTTCTGGAACAGCTATGACTTTGTGTGTACCACTTGCAAGACCGTCTTCTTGTTTGAGCCCAATGCCACCATCCGAGACCTGCTCCGAAAGGGATTCCAAAGATTCTAAAGACAACTCAAATATCACAACCGTGGCTGGTTTTCTTCAGAGCCTTGGTTTAGAACATTTATTAGAATTGTTCGAACGTGAACAGATCACGTTAGACATATTAGCGGAGATGGGTCACGAGGACCTAAAGCAAGTTGGAGTGTCCGCTTATGGTTATAGACACAAGTTAATCAAAGGCATGGAGAAGCTTCTAAATACGACTGCTGGCACGCCTTGGCAACCGACCATTACACCTGGAACGCTATTAGTGGATCTGTTAGCAGAGGACAAGGAATTTCTAGCTGTCGAAGAAGAAATGCAAAGTACCATTAGACAGCATAGAGATAATGGCCATTCTGGTGGTATATTTTCTCGATATAATATAGTTAGGGTATGTTCACTGCATATTATCATAAGAGACTAATGTAACAAGTTTTTAATCTTATTGCAACTTTCCTACAGATACAAAAAGTGCAAAACCGAAAATTGTGGGAACGTTATGCGCATAGAAGACAGGAAGTTGCAGAGGAAGTTGGTGCGGCAGCTCCATCCTCTCCTAGCACTGGTTCCCGGACCACTCCTGGATCAAGTCTGCCGCAGGCGAATGAGAGGATGTTGTTTCACGGTAGTCCGTTTATTAACGCCATCGTTCAAAAGGGATTCGACGAACGACATGCGTACATCGGTGGTATGTTCGGCGCTGGAATTTATTTTGCCGAGCACAGTAGCAAAAGTAATCAATACGTATATGGAATATGTGGAGGCACTGGATGCCCAGCACATAAGGATCGAAGTTGTTATATCTGCCATAGGTAAGCATAGAAGTACCAAACCTAATTTATATTTTATTTACACATTCGATATATTTATATCATATGTTATAGACATTTGTTACTCTGTCGTGTCACACTGGGAAAGTCATTTTTGCAATTCTCCGCGATGAAGATGGCTCACGCACCACCAGGACACCATAGTGTAATGGGCAGACCGTCTCAAGGTGGTTTAGCCTTCCCCGAATATGTTGTTTATAGAGGCGAACAAGCATATCCGGAATATCTTATCACGTACCA